GCCCTTTTTGCCCGACGTATTGGGCGGAGAATACATGCACACACCGCACAACAATTTCGCGTGACTGAATTGTGGAACATGTGTGCCCACGCATTTGAAGTTTCTTGAACACACTAGTGAACTGCGGTGGCAAACTCTGACATGTTCAGAGGTTCATTCATTTGAACACCAGCGTCTGCTGGAGCTAGAAACTTCCATGTTTACGTAGCGTATTAGTTAAAGCTTGTTGGCTGACGATAAGCATCCTAGTGACTTCGTTAGGCTAATTTCCTTCGCCAACGTAATCTTTTGGACGCATCCCATTGGTCGATGCAAATTCTGTGCGCTATCGTGTACAGTACACTCCTATGGGTCGTTTCTGTTGAACAGTGATCGTGCATCAGGGCCTCAGAAGTCAGGCCAAAAAGGCCTGAAAGCCTGTATATCAGGGTGTTTTCCAGGGGTCGGCCTGATTTTTCAGGTTTCGATTTTCCCTTTCCCTGATTTCTAGGGGCCCTTTTTTTGCTAGGCCCGATTTATAGTATGTTCTTGTTACATTTACCCTGATTAATCAGCCTTAACAAAAATTAGGCTTGAAACCGAAACCTGCCCCCCCCCCCCCCACCCCCCCAAAATCACGCTTGGCGTGGGGCCCTAACTCTGCATGCTGGAGCACTTGTGAGGGGCGTGATTGGTCCTTCACCTAAATCAGCGGGCCTAGATGGAGTCGAGATAGAGCACGTGTGAGGAGAGTTCTGAGTGGTCCTTAGCCAAATTTCCAGCAGCACTGAAGCTGTGTTGGAACGTGAGTCGCTGCAGTGATTGGTCCTTGGTGAGTTTAGTGAACTTTGACCAATCGCCAAGGAGATGCTGTAGAGATTGTATCACCCACACAATCTGCAGCGGCAGGAATGCATCTGCCTGGTCAACATGCCGTTATGCGTGCATGCATGCCACGTCACGCTTGTCGTTCCCCCACTCACACCGTCCCCATCGAACTGGTCCTGGGGGGACCACCTGTTTCATCTGATTCTTTACAGCCAGGTCGACCACTTCTGCTGCACTCTCGGCATGCTGGTCTTGCTGCGCGTTGGATTAGATGCTCGGAGTCGTGTCTCTACCACTCTAGTTTAGCCTCCTCTCGCCCCTACACGCCCGTCATGAGCGATGACGAGGGGTGGCAACTGCAAGGGTCTAGACGTCGCAGCCCAAAGGCGTCGACTAGGCCAGCGACTGCTCAGCCAGGTCTGCAGTCGGCACTAGATCTCCTGGTCTGTCCGAGCACTTCAGCGTACAAGTGGAGGTTGGATGACATGTGTAACGATCCGTTACCGCTGCTGCCACATAGCCCCGCGCATGAGCCTGCCCGAGTAGTTTCTCAGCTGCCTAGCCCGTGAACGTGACAGGCAGGTCGATGCCGGTGCAGAGCAGCTCGCCGCAAGTTGCTTCGAATTTGCTGCTACACCCTCACAGTCCACCGCGAGTTTCTGCTCGGACGTCGGAGGCCCCTCGCAGCCCCTACCGAGACGCTGTAATTTCGCAGCCATAGCATCGCAGCCTGACGCAAGGTGCTGATCTACTGCCGCTGCCTCGAAGCCCGCCGCGAGACAATTCTCCCCTCCCCCCTCTGCCTAGCAGCCCATATCGCGATGCACAGATATCGCAACCTTGCCATCGAAGCCCTCCGCGTAGTGTGGCTCGTTCGTTGCCGTTGCGGCACAGCCCCCCGCGTGATGCTGCTCGATCATCGCAGTCGCAGTGGAGCCCGCCGCGCAATGCTGCTCGATCGTCGTAGCTGCAGTGGAGCCCGCCGCGCGATGCTGGTCGTTTGTCGCCGTCACAGCACAGCCCTGGGCATACGCATGTCGCCATCGGCGCACCTTCTATCGCGTGATGCTGGACGTCACTCCCTGTCCCAGCGTAGCTAAGGGCGAGACGCCGCATGCATGTCGCCGTTGGTGCGCAGCCCGTTACGTGATGCCGTACGAAGGTCGCCGCCACAAGCTCAGGGTCTGCACGGTGAAGGCTGTCTCGCTACTGACTCTACTGCCGTCGGGATTGGAGTGCAGTCGTCTATGCCGACGTCACCGCCGAAACGGACGCATCGCTAGGCGTTGCTCAGCTTTTGTTTACCGTCCGTTGTCAAGAAGCATCCCGCCGCTGTTACCTTCACGACATCACGGGCGACAGTGTGTTCGAGAAGGCACCGAGTATCTCGTGTTGCGTCAGTGGCATCACCATTGCTGGCACAGTCCAGCGGCCGTGTGGAGCACCCGTCCATCCGTTCGGCGACAACCACGCCAGTGGCTGGGACCCCAACCGCCGGCCCATCCTCAGCGTCCCCAACCGCCGGCCCGTCCTCAGCGCCGCCACTGGAGTTGCGCATTCAAGGATCTGATCACACAGATAAGGAGTTTAGCAAGGCTGCTAAACTATTATATCTTCAAGCCCTACAGAGTTTTAAGTCGGATTGGCACGAGCGGTTTCCATGGTTGCTGCTTTGTCATACTAAAACCGGCCTCCCCTCTCTCAAATGCAGCCTATTCTGAGCACGGTGTGGTCGGAACCAGGTATGGCAGCAAAGGGGAGGGCAGCGTGGACGTTCGAACCCAGGCCATGAAGAAGCACGCTCGCACCACACGTCACCAGGCCTACATGAAGTCGTAGTAGAAGGCAATGGAGGATGCGGTGAAGCAGAAGAAGATCTTCGACTTCCCACAAGCCAAAGATCTAGAGAAGGGGAGACTCATCGCACTCCTGTGGGTCCTCCATTTCATCTGCCAGTGTGATGTGCCCATTAGTACATGGGTGAAGCTGGTACGCTTCCTCTCCTGACGAAAATTCCCCAGCTTCCCAAAGAAGAGCTACGGGACGTACTTTACCACGTGAGTTCACCTATATGCGTTTCTGTTGTGGTTGGGACTTCGTGCTTTATGCCCTTGTTGCAAGCTCCCTTCGTATACCCGCCTTTTTGTCTTCTAACACCAGCAGTTCTTTGTTGACCGTGAGCCGAGATCGCCTCTGGCCCTCCCGCCCATATTCATGGAAGGTACGGCTTCGCCCAGCTTATGCACTGCACAACGGGGTGGCTCTATAACTCACAGATGCGCCATATACACGCTAGCCCGTTCATTGGCCTCTCCTGTGAGGAGTCGACCGATCGCACCAGGGGGAAACACTTAATCCTTTTTGCAACATTTATGCGTGATGGCCATGCAGTAACTGAGTTTCTAGGTCTGCTTACGCTGGATCGATGTGATGCAGCCTCTATTCATGCCCTCATTCAAAAGCACCTTTCCAAGATCGGATTTTCTCCAAAGAAGATTTCGGGCATCAGCACGGATGGCTCTGCCATCATGATGGGCTCCACCAGCGGGCTGGTGACACGCATGCGAATGAAGATACCTCACCTGGTGTCTTCACACTGCATTGCCCACAAGTATGCATCTCACCGTCCTAGATTTCGACACATGCATGGTGATCCTGAACGCGGCGCCGTTTGCACAAGGCTTATCCCCCGTTGTTGCCTACTGCCCGAGCTCACTCACCCCCGAGCTCACCTACTACCGTGTTACATGTTGAGTCGCACGCCTGAATTTCTGCCAATCCCTGCCTCACCTTCCTGCAGAGAGGCGTTGACGGCTAAGGATGCAGGAACAAGTGTACCTGAGCTCGCCATCGTTGACAAGGTCATCCGCACCGTCGCCGAACTATTAGCCCGATCCGGCAACTGACACGCGCGGTTCAAGGAGCTTCAGGACAACTTCACGCAGACCAACCTCCGGATTTAGTGTATTTATAACATACACTAGTTGTCTCGAGGTGATGCAGTTGGCTGGCTTGTTGCTCTCCTTCCAGCAGTGGTCATTCTACTCGAATATGATGACGCCATGTACAACATCGTTAAGAGCTACAAATTTCACTTCTGTTTGTACTTCCTTGCTGACATTCTCACCTTGATGAACAGCCTCAACAAAGCCTTTCAAGCCCGGCAGGTCGGTTAGGAGACATGCTGTCTAGTTTTGTGGTCTCATTGTGTGTGCCTCTCACCTCTTTGAAGCCTGTTTGCCCTACAGATCGACTTGACAGTGGTGCATGGACCCGTCAGGTGAATGGTGGTGTACATCAAACAGCGATACATGGAGTGCGGCACCAACTTCAGCGGAGGCAACTCCCACTCCTCACTGCATTCATCAAGGTGCACCAAACAAGCCGAGATGTCCCAGTAAAGGGCTGGAACTCCAGCGGTGAGGAGGTGCAGCACAAGTTTGAGCTGCACGACGAAAGCATGGATGGGAACCACGGCGAGTGCTGCAGCGTCTACATGCGGTTTGCGAAGGCATCGGCCGAAAACATCATCGAGCGTATTGGAGACCTCGAGAAGCTCACAGGCTGCATGCTCTTCACCCCTGACGCCTGGCCACCTGGGTGGAAGGAGCGCAACTCCCAGTGCATGGACTGGCTGCAGGCGTTGTTCGACATCTTCCGGGAAGCTGGCCGGAGAGAGGTCTTACCTGGTGAGTTCGCGCTCAGTTCATCCTCATGACATTGTGTGTTATACTGTGGTATTGTTAAGAAACAGGCAGAACCAGAGTTAATACTTGTATCACTGTGGCTCGCATCCCGCCCGTACCTTGGTTTTCTTACAGTGATTAAAAGTCTAGCCTTACACACCTTATTATACTGCCCTTTTCCCCCACCAACCATGCCCTGCAGGAGTGAACAAGCGGGCAGCAACCAAGGAGCTGCCAGTCCTGATCACCCTGTTGAAGGAGGCACCTGTGGGGGAGCGGAAGTTCAATGAAGGGCTTGCTGCGATGCTGAATATGATTGACTGGCTGCAGGCATACCCGAACTTGGGCCGCCTATGGGTGGCAGTGGCGGTGCTGCCCCTCAGCACGGTGGAGTGCGAGAGGGGTTTCAGCCGCCAAAACATCATCAAGAGCTGGAGCCGTGGCAGCTTGGGCAATGCGACACTGGAAGACTTGATGAGTATGGCGCTTCTCAACTACGACCCGGAGTGGGAAGACGTGGTGAAGGAGTTTCGGGGGAGGAAGAGGAAGCCTTTCTCAACACGGATCCGCCCCCGCTGCCGTGTGAAGAACGTGAAGGGAAAGGAGAAGGTTGTGGAGGAGGAGGAGGAGGAGGAGGAGGAGGAGGAGGAGGAGGAGGAGGAGGAGGAGGAGGAGGAGGAGGAGGAGGAGGAGGAGGAGGAGGAGGAGGAGGAGGAGGAGGAGGAGGAGGAGGAGGAGGAGTCAGAGGGGGACGAGGGGGAGGTGGGGGAGGAGGGGGAGGAGGGGGAGGGGGTGGAGGAGGGGGAGGAAGAGGGTGGTGAGGAGATGGAAGAGGACGAGGATGAAGGCCTGGCAGAAGGGGAGCAGTGCAGCAGCGGTGGTGGTGACTGGGAGGATGAGTGAGTGAGCACCAGCAACAGCACCTGAACCAAAGTGACTATGCTTTGTGGCAACACCAGCTGCAGCCATGAACAGATTATGGGGCCAGGTGATGTGTTGGCCTGTCTATTTTAAGTGAATATCAAACCTTGCACGTTGCATGACTTGCTAGAAGCAAGATGAAAGCATACACTAATCAGGGTAGTCGAAAGCGTAGGCCTGGCTAGTCAGCCTTGAAAATTTTGGGGCCTGATAAAATATGCCACTCCCAAACCCCAACCTTGAAAACTATAGGCTGTCACAAGGGTCACCCTGAGGCTTCAGCCCCCCCAAAACCAATCTGAGGGCCTTTCTGTCAAACATATATAGTTTATGTTTGTATAGACTGTATAGGTTCGTATCTTAGAGGGTACAACACTTAGGCTTATACCCTTGTACTGTTTTCTCTCGACATTCAAATTCTACGCTAAGATGGTATCACGCTTGGTAGGTAGGTCCCGCCGCCCACGCTTCCGCCCTAGGCCCTCGTCGCGCCGCCCCTACCTAGTCGCGCCCATTCCTAGCCGGCCCCCTGGGCCGTCGCGCCCGTCCTAGCCAGCCCCCTGAGCCGTCGCGCCCATTCCTAGCCGGCCCCTTGAGCCGTTGCGCTCGATCCTAGCTGCCCCCCCCCCCTGAGTCGTCGCGCTTGTCCTAGCCGGCCCCTTGAGCCGTCGCGCCCGTCCTAGGCGGCCCCCTGAGTCGTCGCGCCCGTCCTAGCCGGCCCCCTGAGCCGTCGCGCCCGTTCCTAGCCCGCCCCCTAAGCCATCGCGCCCGTTCCTAGCCGGCCCCCTGAGCCGTCGTGCCCGTCCTGGCCAGCCCCTTGAGCCGTCGCGCCTGTCCTAGCCGGCCCCCAGAGCCGTCGCGCCCGTTCCTAGCCGGCCCCCTGAGCCGTTGCGCCCGTTCCTAGTCGGCCCCCTGAGCCGTCGCGCCCGTCCTAGCTGGCCCCCTGAGTCGTCGCGCCCGTTCCTAGCCGGCCCCCTAAGCCGTCGCGCCCGTCCTAGCCGGCCCCCTGAGCCGTCGCGCCCATTCCTAGCCGGCCCCCTGAGCCGTCGCGCCCGTCCTAGCCGGTCCTCACGCCCGTCCTAACTGGCCCCCGCGCCCGTACTAGCTGGCTCTCGTGCCCTGCCTAGCCGGCCCTCGCGCCCATCCTGCCGGCCCTTACGCCCGTCCGAGCCGCCCCTCGTGCCTCGTTCATGTCGGCCCCTAACGCCAGTTCCTGAGGTGCGCACGCTCGTCTCAGCTCGCCTCAGCCGGCCCACACGCTCGTCCTCGTCGGTCCGAAGCGCTCGTCCTAGCCAGCTCCTCCCCTCCTACTGCCCGTCCTAGCCGGCTCCTCGTCCCCCAGCACGCCCGTTCCTAGCCGGCTACTTGCCCGTTGCTCACTGGCCCCCGTGCCTGTACCTGCTCGGCCCGGTACCGCTCTGCACTGCGTCGCTGCTGCATCGCTCCTGATGGCGGACTCTGTGCTCCGCTTCAACCCAGAGGGACAGCCGATCAAGTTTGACACGTGGCTTGTCGACCTCCGGCGTCACCTCACTGGTCGGCGGCAGGACGGCCACTCCCTAGCGGTCCATCTTGACGGTACGCTACCCTTCCCTGACCCCCCTCGTCCCCTGCCCGCTGACCCCTCGTCCGATGACCATGATTACGCCGCAGCTGCTGCCCTTGCCCGCTCAGTCTGGCTATCACGTCACGAAATCGCGCAGCTTGCGATCAGTCATGCCCTCCCCCTGTCTGAGCGCCCACAATTTAGGTCATTCACGACTACGCAGGAATTTCTATACGCCGTCATCAAGCGCTGTTCCACACCGCCCGCTGCCTCTGTAGGTCACCTGATCGTGCCGATGCTCTTCCCTGACCTTGCGTCCTTCCCTACTGTCGCTGACCTTGCCACCCACCTGCGCACGATAGACGCGACCTGGAGTGCTGCCTGCACTGAGACCCAGCTTAGAGCCTTTCAGCCGCCCCTCTGCTCTGCCCTCTACTTGCTTGCCACCCACCTCCCTGATCGTCTTGCTACTGCACGCGACCACTTCCTTAGCATCCACCCCGGTGACCTCACCCTCACTGACTTTGTCGACACCCTGACTGCCATAGAGACCCGCCAGTGCTCTATCGCCCAGACAAGCGGTACTGTGCCGCTCCCTATCTTTCAGGGTTGTGCCCCCGCTCAGTGCACCTTCTCCGACGGTTCTGCTGCTGTGGCTGAGTCTGCAGCTGCAGCGCAAATCCGATCCGGGAAGGGCCGCCGCCCCAAGGTTGGGGCGCAGCAATGGGGGTGGCGGTGCAGGTGGAGGTGGTGGTGGGGTCGGGCCGTCTAGTGGTAGCGCTGACGAGGGAACCTTGACAGGTGCAGCCGAGCAGCCGTCTCAGCAGCCGCAGGTGTCGCAGCCAGACACGCACCAGTTGCAGCAGCAGCCCTCACACCAGCCGCAGCAGTCGCAGCAGCCACAGCAGTCGCAGCAGCCGCAGCAGCAGAGGCGGACTGGTGGACCCCCTCCCGAGTGGCCTGGCGCTGGTGGTGGCGGTGGACGTGGTGGTCATGCGCGTGGTGGGCTGCCGAGTGGCGGTTCGGGTGACGCGCGCTGTCAGTACCAGCTCTAGACCGGTCCTCGCCGTGGTTTTGTTTGCGGTAAGATCGGTCACACCTCCGTCCGCTTTTTCCGTCGCCTGGACGACCTATTTCGTCCGCACTTCGGCCCGTCGCCCGACCTCCCCGACTGGCATAGCTTACTACGCCGTAGCGTTCAGATCTTTGATATGGACATGGATGAGATTGTTGCTGCCCTGCCCTGCATGTGACTCCACTACGCTGCTCGGTGTTTCTTCCGTAACTCCACTACGCTGACGCCTCTTGCTACCGCTGCTGCAATTTCTCTTGCCAACCCCTCCTCCGGCCCGGTAGTCGCTTGCAGTTCCACCACCCTTCTCTGTCCGGTGGTTCCTTCGGGCTCTCTTACAGGCCTGCACATCCCCTTCTTCTCCAGGAACCTAGTTGGTGTCGGCTGCCTCCAAGACCTTGGCGTCACCACTACGTTCCCTGGTCACGAGCGGTACGCTGTCTGTACCGAGACCGCCACTGGTGCCCCCCTCAATACATTCCCCCGGGACCCGGTGTCCGGCCTGTTCACACTGGACAATGCGACCCCCCTGGTAGGGACGTCTTCTCAGGTAGCTGTGTCTCCCCAGGTTGATGCGGCCTACTCATGTCGGTCGCTCACTCACCCGACACTCCTGTGGCATCACCGTCTAGGTCACCCCGCCCTCCCGCGTCTGCGTCACATGTCACAGCACGGTCTGGTCCAAGATCTCTTAGGGTCGTTCCCTGAGTTGCCCTCCTCCCGAGCACCACCGTGCACGCCCTGTGTCGAGGGTCGGCTCCGTCGTGCCCCTCACTCCTCCTCGTTCCCCCATACCGCCGCACCGTTACAGACTCTGCACATGGACGTCTGGGGCCCCGCCCCCGTCCATGGGCTGCATCGAGAACGCTACTTCCTAGTGCTAGTCGACGACTACACGCGCTACACCACAATATTTCCCCTGGAGCGGAAGGTCCATTTGCCTGACGTTCTTATCCCATGGCTTGTCTCTGCGCATGTCCACCGCGGTTTCCCTGTCTTGCGTCTACACTCCGATCGTGGTGGCGAGTTTGCCTTTGGTGTCCTTGGTTGTTTCTGTCGTGCGGAGGGCATCACCCAGACGTTCACCTTGTCGGACTCCCCACAGCAGAATGGGGTCACTGAGCGACGCATCGGCTTGGTCATCGAGGTGGCCCGTACCTCCATGATCCATGCCGGTGCACCCGATTTTCTGTGGCCGTTCGCTGTTCGCTACGCCGCTCACCAGCTTAACCTGTGGCCGCACCCCCAGTAGTTGCAGGTTTCGCGGACCCTTCTTTGGTCCGGGTCTCCTGGTGACGCGTCTGTGTTCCACGTCTGGGGCTGCCTTGCTCACGTTCGTGCATCTGGCAGGGACAAGCTCACTGCCCGCACCCTCCCTTGTGTCTTCCTCTGTTTCCCCCTTGACGCGTCCAGCTGGCACTTCTACCACCCGCCGTCTCACCGGTTCTTTCACTCCCGTAATGTCACATTTGATGCGTCTGTCTCCTTCTACCGCCGCTTACTCCCGGTTACTCCCCCCGTTACTCCCCCCTTGTTCCTGGTCACCCCTTCCCCGGTCGACCCTGTCCCTCCCCCTTCCCCTCCCCGTCTTGCACCATCAGGAGTGTCTCACGTCACTCCCCTCCCGTCGGTTGTCCCGGTCGAGGAGTCTGCTAACTCAGGTGACATTGCGGCGCAGTCCTCGCCACCTGCCCCTTCCTAGGCGTCTCCTCCTCCACCGTCTTTGCAGCCGCCGTCCCCGCCGCTGTCGCAGCCGTCGTCACCGCCACCGCAGCCGTCGCAGCAGGAGTTTGTTGACTCTAGGGGTACTGGCGTTGGGGTACGTACTAGTCATGGGGTTCCTGTCGTGGCTTGTCCAGGTGGGCCTGGGGGTGGTACCTTTGTTCGCGGGGTTTCGGGCTCTGGGGGTGTTCCTTCTGGGGGTGCTAGAGTGGAGTGTTCCTGAGGTAGCCGTGGAGCAGCTTGTAGTCCCGGTGTTGCTGTCGTGCCACCGCAGCAGCGGTCACCGCCGGTGTCCGCCCTTCACCTGCTCGGCCTCCTGTCCCCTGACCACGTGTCTGTGCCTCCCCTGCCGTCTCCTCCCCTTCCTATCTACAGCCCTGTGTTCCCTTCCCCGGACTCGTCTTCGGCTCGTCTTCCTCCTCGTTCCCCTCCTGTGTCCCCGCCTCTGTCTCCTGACCTGACGCCTGCGTCTCACGTCAGGTCTCGTCGTCCCTCCCGTGCTCGCCCCGTCTCCCCTGTCCCGCGCTCTCATCCTATGTTGCTTCATTCTAACGCATCTCGTTCTCCACTACTACCGTCACCGCCTCCGTCCTCCCTTCTTGTTGCGCCTCACCCCCTATCTGACTACCTTCACGCCGCTCGTCCTCTTGTTCCTCGGGTCCTTG